ATTAGCAAAAACTCATTTAAAATTTAAAGCCCTTTCAAAATTTTTCTTATACGTTTATAGATATTTTTTTCTTTAATTTTAAATGAAAAAAATTTTAATTTTGCTCCAAAAAGAATTTAGAAACTTCCCAAACCTTATTAAAAACAAGAACAATTTATTTTACCATCCCCAACAAATATTTTTAGATTTGTTTACGTAATTTAATACAAACAAAACAGTGAAATTTAAAATTTTTTTGTTAGGTTCAGAATTTTTTTGGGAATTTTGCATCAAAAATTTTTCACTTGCCCCTATAGGGCAAGATGAGCGTGCTTTTTAAACCCAAAAATCGAAGTTTCCCTTTTCGGCACGACATATATATATATAATTTATATAATAATATAATATTTTTATAAATATATATATTATATTTAATATATATATATAATATATATATATATATATGTATATTTATATTATATTATATAATAATATATATATATATATATATATTATATTTTAATTATATATATTATTATATATGTTATATATTATATATTATAAAATAGTGTGTGTGTGTGTGTGTGTGTGGTGTGTGTGTGTGTGTGTGTTGTGTGTGTTGGTGTGTGTGTGTGTGTGTGTGTGGTGTGGGGTTTTGTATTTTGTTTTCGTGCCGAATAGGTAAATTTGGTCATTTAGCAAGAACTCTTTTTAAAATTAAGTTATTTTCAAAAAAAAAATTCTTATCGTTTAAGATATATTTTTTCATTATTTTAATGTAAAAAAGGGAAATTTTGTCCCCAAAAAACCTTAGAAAACTTATAAAACATTTTATAACAAGCGAATTTTAAATTTTACCCTAACCCAAACTAAATATTTTTTAGATAATTTTTAAAAATAATTTAATAATAAACAAAACAATGAAATTATTTTTTAGTTAGGTTCAAAATGTTTTTGCAAAGTTATTGCATACACAAATTTTCGCTTCCCTTTTATTCGGCAAGAAGAACGTTGCTTTTTTAACCCCAAAATCGAAGTTTTACCTTTGGGCAAAAAACATATATATTAATGGACTGACAAACCCCACGAACCTTCGATCCAAAATTCAATAATTCATTGATGATGTGACCTTGACCTCGGGGCTGAATAAGAGCAAACCTCTTCAAGGCAAAAGGTACAGGCGCACTAACTGTGACGGCACCTGCAGGTTTAATATAATACTTCTCTCACAAGAAACAGTGTATGATCAGATATAGTGCGGGCTTCTGTAATGTCAAAGTATAGGAAAAATATATAGGGGAAGGCTTCGTACCATGTCAATTATAGAATAAATCATATAGTGCGGGGCTTCTGTACCATGAAAAATGTAAGGAATAAATCATATAGTGGGGGGCTTCTTTTCCCATGTCAATGTAGGGGAATAAATATTAGGCGAGGCTTCTATACCTGTAAAGTTGGGAATAAATCGTCCCGAGCGTTTTTACCAAAAAAAGACTCCGATTATTTTTGAACTGCATAGGTTCAATTTGCCATTGTATCGAGCATTTGTTGTTTTGGTGTCTGTGTGAAAAAAATAAGTTTAATTCATCTGGGGGTCAAGTCTTCATGCTGAAGATTTTAATGAAACGTCAGTTTATATATAATATGTAATTGCCAATTTTTTTTTAAAAATGGGGGGGGGGTAATACTAACATTGGGGAACAATGAGAATAAATGGGGGCTTAATATAACTCCAGCTTCTTTTCTCACTCCACAAAAAGGGCACAAATTATGAATTTATGCCTTGTTTTTCTTTGTGTAATTTTATAACCTTGACATGGCATGTTAATATAACGGGGTAATGTTTCTTAGATAAAAGCATTCCTTAAAAAAAATTTAATCAAAAAAATAAATCTTTTTTACGAATTTTTTTTTGTTTTCGCTTCTATCCCTTCCAACAACCCGGGCCGAACAGTCTTAATATAAAACTCTAGGGAACCCCCCTCTCTATTTCGAAAAGTGATATCCCGGTATTTATATATCGTATATGCTCAAACGAAACAACCAGAGTATATTATTACAAACGTTATACTCATAGTGACGAGTGGGACCAAACCCCCCGACTTTTCTTATTTAAAGGCGAATCTTATTGATGGTGCCCTGTTATTGTGGAGTGATGGAAAAAAATAATGTGTAGAGGAAAGGAGGCCTTTGTATTTCGAGATTTTATACGTTTTTTGGTGATTTTATATTGCATTTGCATGATTGAAGGCCTTTAAATTTAAACGCCCAAAGGGTTTTACAGACAAAGCCAAGTATACAGAGAAACCCTTTGATATGGCAAGTTTCTCTCAAAGCTTTTTTCATGAACCCCCAAAAACTCTACTTAAGGTGCATTCCCCTAAAAAAACATGTCTGATTTTTTTGCTTATGAACTTTCCTTTAATGTTAGGTTAATTTTGACTAGTGATCCCTTTTGAACTCAATGAACTACAAGGTTTTTCTTTTCTCTTATTCAGGCTTCCACATGACGCCAAAAAGTCGAATGTTTTCCCCGGGAGTTTTGCTGTTAATGTGTTGGGGTTTGTGGGAAAAATTTGTGCTCTTTTAACGCAGGCCCTTCTTACCCGTCACAGCTGACGTCTTTTTCCCTGTACATGTTGCCCCCCCTCTCCTCGACCGGGGCTTTCATCCCAAATCGTCTTTTCTTTGACCCCTGGGACCATATCGTTTTCCCCGTCTGGGCACCATCTGGAACGTTTTGACCTGGGAGTTATTATTTATGCAAGGGCAGCACTAACCCAAATTTGGGGGATATACAGCACTTGGGGAAAAAGACTTTCTTTCAAGGAAGGAATGTTATTTTCTAATTCCTTAATCAAAATTTTTTCAGCAGAACCAAGGCTTTTCCCCTTGGAAGGGCGCCATTATTGATGATGTTCTTCCTTTCCCCCACTTTCCTATTTTGACCATCGAGGGAAAAGGAAATTATGAGAGTCTTCAAAAATGTCTTATTTATAATTGTTAGCGTTCTTAATGTCATTTGAATATTTACTCTGTTAATAAAAGGGTTTTGGAATAATTCAAACCTTTGGGGTTTCTGTGAGGGGGATGACATAGATGATATAAATTTTAAACCATGTAAAAATGGAAAAAAAAAAAATGCACAGTATTAAAAAAAAAATTTAAACACTAGCAAAATTTGGGTATCTTTATTGGGGAAACACCGCCACCATGGCTAAACAGTCCTAAATAAAGAAAACGGTAAAGATCGGGAGGATTTGAGGTAACACCCTCACTCTAAAGTTCTTCCCCTGCGGTTAAAAGCTAAACTCAGTTCAGACTTGCACGCCCCTGCAGGTTGAGAGGCTGACTTAGTTACTTGGCCTCTTACTTTTTTGACCCAAAGTTTTATATCTGCTACTAATCAAACATTGAGGGGTTTCCTCCAGCTTTACCCTTTGAAAAGATGCCTGGTTTTTCAAAGCACTTTTTTCATATATTTTTTTAAACTTTTTGCATTTTTCTCTGCTTCATGTATTCTGGGACACTGAAATATTGTGTTTTAATTTGGGGGTGTGTTCTAAGGTATTTCCTTGCGGGTGGGCCTGGCGGGTATATTTAGCCGAATACCCCCATTCTGCACATGCTTTCTTTCGTCTTCATCTCCCGTGGGCCCTGGCGTCCGCTGTTTTGAAAAATTCATCGAGGAGGTGCTCTACTCTTTCTTCGAAAGGGGGCTTCAACGTGGTGTCCCCTGTGGTAGGGGTCCGTCAAAATTTTAAAATCCACTGACTCCATCTTTATACTTTTCTTTTTTAATTTTGCTCTATCTTTTTTTTTATTATTTTTTTCCAACAGGTCGGGTTTTTGGGGAGAACCCTTTTTTCTTTTAGCTCATTTCAAAACCCCGCCCCCATTTAAGTATACTGTACCTCTTTCAGAGGGGAAAAGACTCACAAGAGTTGACCTACCCAAGTACTGTTACCTATTTTGCTAGGGAAACAAAAGGGGAGCAGGGGAAGGACACTTGCCCATACTCTTGGCTCGCCGACAACTACCATTGATAAAAAACATCGAACGAGGGTTTAAAACTGAGGAAGATTAGTCATTTGGGAAAAAATTATAAATGTTTAAAGCAATTATTATTTATCAAAAGGGGTAATATATATGACAAAAAAAAGTTTTGTTTTTCACATTATCTCCTAATTTCCGTATAGTGCATCGGCAAACAACACTTGTTTACTCCATTTATACCAATTCATTAGATAAAAATGGTATTACATACCGACATGTAAAAAGACACGTTAGTACTAAGACATTTATCGAGGAGATTTCCCTCACAAGAGCTTTGTCAGTCCCAAAAAAGCCCCTGAGGAAACATTTCCTCGAAAATATCCTGTTTTACATGCGCGGATACTACATTGTGCAGTTCGAATTTCCACACTTGTTTTAAAAGCTTTGAATAATTAAAAATATAAAAATAACAAATTTAAAATTGATGTCAATGGTATACAGACTGACAAAAATGACGAATTACACACCTGTCAACAACTGGGTATAAAACTCACTATGCGGTTTTTGGTATTTTTTTTTCATTATAATACCATTGGTACACTGGATTAATTTAAAAAGTTACTGGTTTTTTGGGCTCTGTTTTTTAGGAGCAGTATAAGAATGACTAAATAAAAAAAGCAAGTTCTTTATTGAAAAAGGGGGGGAAAACCTTCCCCTCTCCCCGTCAGCCAGCCAGATCCTGCCCCTTTTTGGGGGAACCTATACAAAAAAACGAATACATTAGGTGTCTCCGCGTTTTCTTAGGTAACTTTTGGTTTTCGTTTAGCTTAGTAAAGTATTCCTCGCGTTTAGCTTAGGGGTCTTCGCTTTTAGCGTACGAAGGCCAATGCTTATGCTAAACAAAATTATGCATTTCTCCCATTTCTAATCTGATTGCTTTATTCTTTTAGGGGGTTGTATACTTGTTCGAGGGCTACATGAGTGGGGGGGAAAACGTGCAAGTATGGGAAATTTTAAGTGTATAGTTCCTTCCCCCTGGTGGCCCTGGGAGGGGACCCCATTGGTATTATCGGGCCCCCCACGCCTTTGTCACAAAGGGAAAAATTTTTCAAGACCAGGTCATTCCTTTTTGTTTTTTGCATATTTCAGAATGTGTTTGTATGAATTGAGGAAAGTACAAAGGAAATGTCATGGTGAATATGAAGGCAGCGTTTAAAGAGTTTGGTGCCCCCTACGTCTTTCACAAATCGAAAAAGTCGCAATTACCACCATAACATCAAGAAATAGATTGCTTACTGACATGTAAATAAGGCATGTAAAAACTTCGACATTTATCGTGGGAAAATTTTGCTCACAGTATGAACTCCCTTTTTGCTAGACCCAAAATATTTTCGCCTATCTTTCTTTTAATGGCATCAGTCTAATGGGTTCAACAAACGGTTAGTGTGTGGGGGCGCTCTGCTGGATTTTGGAAGGCAAATTTACCTAACAAATTTATGCATTTTGAAATTCTTACCCCCTGGCTGCAACAAGGGTTCATTCTGGCAGCGTTCCCGTTTGTAACACTGTAATCTTTTACAACGAAAACCTTGAGAACCAAATACAGTGATTGAAAACTAGAGAGGGCACGAACTTAGCAAAAGTCTACAGGGCCCCCAAATGTTTTCATTTAAAGATATGAAGGGCCTGGGGAACAACCAATCAGTTACCATCAAAAAACGAAGTTTCGCATGCTCAGCATTTCAACTGAAGAAACCTGCTAAGAGGCATACGTCTCGTCATACAGATATAAAAAACTTAATTCTCTCTTTCTTTGCGGTATTGCATACAGTTCTATTTTTTATATCGGTTCATTGGGAAATTTTCTTTTGGTACCAAAAGAACAAAATATTAAAATTTGCATAAGTATAATACTTCATTAAAAAATGTGCTCAGTTGCAAGCAAATAATTGTGTCCCCCGGGGGGGTTCCCTTACATGGCGACGGGTTCTTGATCAGGGAAATTTGGGTCTTGGGTTCCCGGGTTCCCCGAATTAAGTGGATACCTTCCCCCCCCATTGCGGTAATCCTACGGGTTCGGGTTTTTGGGGAGGGAATTGCAGATGGGTGGGTACTTTTTTTATGCCCGGTATGGTACGCGACAGGTAAACGGTAAAATTTGGGTCAGCCGGTCCGTAGGAAAGGGGGTTTTAGGCAAGGGTTTTTCCCCCCCCCCAGTCTTTTTTTTGATCAAAAACCCCTTTTATGAGCTGGTGGATGGTGGTTTGAGGCGTGGGAAAGCTGAGCAGTGACCATGCAGCGCGTGTGGCGGGGACGTAGTGTACCACAATTCTGTTAAAAAGGGGGGGAGGATTTTCAGATCGTGGGGTGGATTGTTATTTTTTGGGGAGGTCAGGCATGCCGTTTAAAAGGGAAAAAACGAAATTATTGGGGTGGGTACATGGGTGGGGGGGGAGGTTGGGCGAAAGGGAGGGTGGTCAGCGGGTGCAACTTTGAAAAAGTGGCATCGTGTACATGGCAGATGAGAGGAGAGCCCAAGGGTAAATCTGAAATTTGGGGTTAAAAAGGGTTTTTTGATCGACTTCGGGGGGTTTAAAGTGGGGATTCTCTTGAACAGAGGACGGTATGGTTAAACACTTGTTTATAGTAAAGTATGGGGGGTGGCCGCGGTGTACCCTTTAAGATAGGATATTTAGGAAATGCAAGAAGGGGGTTTTGTTATGTTGGGGGTTTTGGGAGGGCTTGGGTTTAAACGGAGGTTGTCATGACCCAGTTCGTCGTGGGGGGTTTAGGCTCTTGGCTTTGGGGCCGGGTGAAGGCCCTCTATGTAAAAACAGCGGTTCCCTTTGGGGGGGGGGGGGAGAGGGGACCGGGGGGGGGGCGGGGAATGATCGAAAAGCGTAAATGGTGGAGCGGCAGGGGATTAATAGAGTGTGAGGACATGCTGCGTTTGTTGTTAAGAGATAAGATAAGATAAGATTTCGTTCGGATTTTTAACCCCGGAGGGTTAGCCACCCAGGATAACCCAAGAAAGTCAGTGCGTCATCGAGGACTGTCTAACTTATTTCCATTGGGGTCCTTAATCTTGTCTCCCAGGATGCGACCCACACCAGTCGACTAACACCCAGGTACCTATTTGCTGCTAGGTGAACAGGACAACAGGTGTAAGGAAACGTGTCGAAATGTTTCCACCCGCCGGGAATCGAACCCGGGCCCTCCGTGTGTGAAGCGGGAGCTTTAGCCACCAGGCCACCGGGCCTGGCGCAACGGATCCAGGTGGGGCAAATGGTCAGCATATGTTGTCGTAGGGAAATTGTACAGGGATTGTCTGTTTTTCCGCTGTATAATTGGGGGGAAATATGGGAAGGATTTTGTAAACTTAAGTTGGCACCAAGGGTTCGTGAATTGGTGTACAGATTTGTCATGGGGATTTTAGCATCAAAATCGGTCTTAAATAGGATGGGTTTGAACATCAAAATGGTATACAATACCGACAGGTTGTTAGGTAAGACACATATGCAACGGTTAGACAACTTTATTCCGAAACGTTTCGCCTACACAGTAGGCTTCTTCAGTCGAATACAGAAAGTAGGCAGGAACAGTAGAGATGTGAAGACGATGTAATCAGTCCATCACCCTTGTAGTCGTAGAATTTGAGGTTGTCAGTCCCTCGGCCTGGAGAAGTTCAGTTCCATAGTCAGGAACTATCTCAGATAGTTCCTGACTATGGAACTGAACTTCTCCAGGCCGAGGGACTGACAACCTCAAATTCTACGACTACAAGGGTGATGGACTGATTACATCGTCTTCACATCTCTACTGTTCCTGCCTACTTTCTGTATTCGACTGAAGAAGCCTACTGTGTAGGCGAAACGTTTCGGAATAAAGTTGTCTAACCGTTGCATAGGATGGGTTTGGTAAGGGAGGCGGATTGCTTGCGTTGCGGTCTTGAAGAAATAGCTTTTCATGCTGTCTACTTTTGTGATACCTTGGACAAAGTTCGTTCGTGGTTGGGGCGGGTTTTAGATTTTCTTAGTGGGGGAAGTATTTCAACCTTACGGGCCTTAACATTGGAAGTTAGCGGAGTATCAAGTGCGGTACGAAGAGCAATAATGTACGTGGTGGCTGATTTCCTCTATATCTCGTGGGGTATGCGGGAAACCGGGGGATCAGGTAGGATCAGGGCAATTGCGGCAGGTATCTACAGAACGTATTGCAGAAATAAACTCATATATGGTAGAAGTTGGGATAATAGTTTTCCGGCAAAGTATCGATGTCTTACTGTTCAAATGTTGCTGCAACTGCGGGTGGGGTAAGGCAACGGGGGGCTGGACTCCCCCCGTGGTAGCACCAAACGGTATGTTAGAGACTTCAGGGTAGAGTGCGGGTTTTAGGGAGTGACGTGTATGTATTATGAATGGTTCCGTACGTCTGTGTGTGTATGGTTGTGGCGTTGTGTGGCACTGAGATCTTGAATTACTCATAAAATGAAGTCTTGTGGAATGTGTGACACGGTTTGTTAAGTTTATATGTGGCGTGATAGATGTTATAAGGAGTTTAGTGTTGGTAACTTACTAAAATCATAATAGACCATTTGGATATTACTTTTTCAAGTTGTAATCTTGGGTTCTTTAAAATGTGTACATAGCCTAGTATTGTACCGATATGTAGCATGTGGTATATTATCTTGCATTTTGAGCGGTGAACTTCACGATATGGGAATGTTTTGAAAATTTAATTCATGGTTAACATTTAAAATCTGATATTATATTAGTGGTGTATATTCTTCTCCTTATTACAGTGTGTGTGTATAGGAATGTAATGTTTCATAACTGTTTTAGTCTGTAAATTTATGTTTTGTCTTGTTCATGCACTACCAACTCTTAGGTAAATACTCATTAAGGTTTGGGTGAGGTCAGGTTATGACCATTCATTAGGATAATTTAAAGTATGTTATTTAGAACGGGGACTGTACATACGGGGAGGGGGGGGTAGAAGTGTCAGCTGTGTCTGCACTGGCAATAATGATTATTGTAAAAGGAGGGTTTGTAGGTTATGTATATGGTTGTGGGTTATGTATATGGTTGTGGGTTATGTATATGGTTGTAATATGGCCATTATCTATGGTGTTCTTTAAATTGTACCAGGATTGTGTACTAGAGGTTTTGTAATATCTAGTATGGTTTTTAATTTTATACTCTTATACATTATTGTATTTGTCCTATGTTTTAAATAAAAATATAAAAAAAAAATCCTACGGGTTTAGCGCTCCCCATAACATCTCATAATAATGTATTATGAGATGTTATGGCTAACATTTTGATCCAGTCCTTTTGATAAATCACGCATTATTTCCTCTGGTAAAATACAAACATACTGTCTATACATTAGCACAAATTGTTATTTGTCGTAGAATTTTTTATTTTATGAGATAGCAAAATTAATACATCCTGAGACATGCAGCCCACCAGGGGGGCCAATCAACTGTTAGTATTGACACACCTGGCCAATAACAACGAAAGGAAACAAAGACAAATTGAATGTAAACAAAAGCGCTCCAATCCTATATCAACCGCTGGCGGAGAAAGTTACGCTAGGTTATTTTAGGTTTGGTTTCGTTAGGTTACGTTTCATGCATTTGCATAACATAAAACAATGTCAGTGAAAAAGCTAACTAAATATTGGACTTTTTGATGAATAAATTTTCACTAAACTCACAAAAGGACTGGATCTCCATTATTACCATTATTATCTCCAGGTGGTGCACGCGCGCACACACACACACACACACACACACACACACACACACACACACAGAGGGAGCAGAGACACTACGTGTGCCATTAACCAAAATCTTCAACACTTCCCTTGAAACTGGACAGCTACCTGAAGTATGGAAGAAGGCAAATGTAGTCCCCATCTTTAAGAAAGGAGACAGAAATGAATCACTAAATTATAGACCAGTGTCACTGACGTGTATAGTATGCAAAGTCATGGAGAAGATTATCAGGAGGAGAGTGGTGGAGCACCTGGAGCAGAACAAGATTATAAACGACAGCCAGCACGGATTCATGGAGGGCGAATTCTGTGTCACACACCTACTAGAGTTTTATGACAAAGTAACTGAAGTAAGAAATGAGAGGGAGGGGTAGGCTGATTGCATTTTCTTGGACTGCAAGAAGGCCTTCAACACAGTTCCTCACAAGAGATTAGTACAGAAGCTAGAGGAACAGGCACATATAACAGAAGGGGCACTGTAATGGATCAGAGAATACCTAACAGGGAGGCAACAGCGAGTCATGGTCTGTGATGAGGTATCACAGTGGGCGCCAGTGACGAGCGGGGTCCCACAGGGGTCAGTCCTGAGACCAGTGCTATTCTTGATATATGTGAACGACATAACGAAAGGGATAGACTCAGAAGTGTCCCTGTTTGCAGATGACGTGAAGTTAATGAGGAGAATTAAATCAGATGCGGACCAGACAGGTCTATAAAGAGACCTGGACAAGCTGGATGCGTGGTCCAGCAACTGGCTCCTAGAATTTAACCCCGTTAAATGCAAAGTCATGAAGATCGGAGAAGGGCAAAGAAGACCGAAGACAGAGTATAGCCTAGGAGGCCAAAGACTGCAAACCTCACTCAAGGAGAAAGATCTAGGAGTGAATATAATACCGATTACATCGCCAGAAGCACACATTAACCAGATAATTGCTGCGGCATATGTGCGCCTGGCAAACCTGAGAATAGCGTTCCGGTACCTCAGTAAGGAATCGTTCAAGACTTTATACACTGTATACGTCAGGCCCATACTGGAGTACACAGAACCAGTTTGAAACCCACACCTGGTCAAACACGTCAAGAAATTAGAGAAAGTGCAAAGGTTTGCAACAAGGCTAGTTCCAGAGCTAAGGGGAATGTCCTATGAAGAAAGGTTAAGGAAAATCGGTCTGAAGACACTGGGGGAGAGGAGGGTCAGGGAAAACATGATAACGACATACAAAATACTGCGTGGAATAGACAAGGTGGACAGAGACAGGATGTTCCAGAGATGGGACACAGAAACAAGGGGTCACAATTGGAAGCTGAAGACTCAGATGAGTTAAAGGGATGTTAGGAAGTATTTCTTCAGCCACAGAGTTGTTAGGAAGTGAAATAGTCTGGCAAGCGATATAGTGGAGGCAGGAACTATACATAGTTTTAAGACGAGGTATGATAAAGCTCATGGAGCAGGGAGAGGGAGGACCCAGTAGCGGTCAGTGAAGAGGCGGGGCCAGGAGCTGAGTCTCGACCCCTGCAACCACAATTAGGTGAGTACAATTAGGTGAGTACACACAGAAGTATAGAAGTATAGAAGGCAAATGACCCAGGACAATAAGGAGAGCAGTCGTAGAGCCAGAAATGAATATGCACAGGTAAGAAGGGAGGCCCAACGACAGTATGAAAACGACATAGCAGGGAAAGCCAAATCTGACCCGAAGTTGTTATACAGAAACATCAGGAGAAAAACAACAGTCAAGGACCAGGTAATCAGGCTAAGGAAGGAAGGAGAAACATCAAGAAACGACTGCGAAGTATGTGAGGAACTCAACATGAGATTCAAAGAAGTGTTCACAGAGGAGACAGAAGGGACTCCAGAAAGACGGAGAGGTGGGGCACACCACCATGTGCTGGACACAGTGCACACAACCGAGGAAGAAGTGAAGAGGCTTCTGAGTGAGCTAGATACCCTAAAGGCGATGGGGCTGGATAACATCTTTCCGTGGGTCCTGAGAGAGGGAGCAGAGGCGCTGTGTGTACCCCTAACACATCTATCGAAGCAGGGAGATTACCTGAGGTATGAAAGACAGCAAATGTAATCCCAATTTTTAAAAAAAGGAGATAGACATGAAGCATTAAACTACAGACCAGTGCCACTGACATGTATAGTATGCAAAATCATGGAGAAGATTATCAGAAGAGTGGTGGGGCACCTGGAAAGGAATGAGCTTATCAACAACAGCCAACATGGTTTCAGGGACGGGAAATCCTGTGTCACAAACCTACTGGAGTTCTATGACAGGATGACAGCAGTAAGACAAGAGAGAGAGAGGGGTGAGTAGATTGCATTTTCTTGGACTGTAAGAAGGCGTTTGACACAGTTCCACGCAAGAGATTAGTGCAAAAACTGGAGGACCAGGCAGGGAAAACAGGGAAGGCACTATAATTGATCAGGGAATACTTGTCAGGAAGACAGCAGCGAGTCATGGTACGTGGCGAGGTGTCAGAGTGGGCGTCTGTGACGAGTGGGGTTCCACAAGGGTCAGTCCAAGGACCAGTTCTGTTTCTGGTACTTGTGAACGACGTGACGGAAGGAATAGACTCCGAAGTGTCCCTGTTTCCAGATGATGTGAAGTTGATTAGAAGAATTCAATCGGACGAGGACCACGCTGCAGGCCTGGTCCAGCAATTGGCTCCTGGAGTTCAACCCCACCAAGTGCAAAGTCATGAAGATTGGGGATGGGCAAAGAAGACTGCAGACGGAGTACAGTCTAGGGGGCCAGAGACTACAAACCTCACTCAAGGAAAAAGGTCTTGGGGTGAGTATAACACCGGGCACATCTCCTGAGGCGCACATATTGGAGTATGCGGCACCAATTTGGAGCCCACACCTTGCCAAGCACGTAAAGAAACTAGAGAAAGTGCAAAGGTTTGCAACAAGACTAGTCCCAGAGCTAAGGGGTTTGTCCTACGAGGAGAGGTTAAGGGAAATCGACCTGACGACACTGGAGGACAGGAGAGATAGGGAAGACATGATAACGCCATATAAAATACTGAGAGGAATTGACAAGGTGGACAGAGACAGGGTGTTCCAGAGATGGGACACAGCAACAAGGGGACAAATTTGGAAGTTGAAGACTCAAATGAATCACAGAGATGTTAGGAAGTATTTCGTGAGTCACAGAGTAGTCAGGAAATTAAATAGTTTGGGAAGCGATGTAGTGGAGGCAGGATCTATTCCTAGCTTTAAGAAGAGGTATGATAAAGCTCATGGTGCAGGGAGAGTGACCCAGTAGCGGCCAGTGAAGAGGCGGGGCCAGGAGCTATGACTCGACCTCTGCAACCACAACTAGGTGAGCACACAGGAGCTGAGTCTCGACCCTTGCAACCACAATTAAGTAAGTACATATATGTCGTGCCGAATAGGTAAAATTTGCGATTTTGGCTTAAATAGCAACTCTTCTTGCTGAATAAGGCCAACCTTATTCACTGTTTGTTTATTATTAAATTATTGTAAACTTATCTAAAATTTATTTAACGGATTAGACTAAATTAAATTGCCCTTGTTATAATAAGGTTAGGTAAGTTATCTAAAGTTCTTTTGCTACAAAATTATTATTTTTTTTACATTAACATAAACGAAAAAATATATCTTTAAACGTAAAAGAGAAAATTTTAGAAAGGACTTAATTTTAAATGAGTTCTTGCTAATTGACCAGTTTTACCTATTGGGCACGACATATATATATATATATATATATATATATATATATATATATATATATATATATATATATATATATATATATATATATATAATATATATATATATATATATATATATATATTTTATATATATATATATATATATTATATATAGTATATATATATTATATATATATATAATATATATATATATTATATATATATTATATATATATATATATTATATATATATATATATATATCACATGCTGGCCGTCTCCCACCGAGACAAGGTAACCCAAAAAAGAAACACTTTCACCTTCATTCACACATAAATAACTGATTTTGCAGAGGCACTCAGATACCACAGTTCAGGTGCCACTCCAAACAGCAAATATTTTAATCTATTTTACTGATTAAAGTATCCTTGACTGGGAAATCAAAAAGGTGACAGCAGCCTCAGTGACCCTCATGCACTTGATGATAGTATGAAACACTTTTGCAAGATTTGGGAATCTTTATTGAGGAAACATTTCGCCAACTAGTGGCTTCTTCGGTCTAATACAGAAGACAATGGTGAAAGATGAGGAGAATAAAGTAATCGGTCCCTCAGTCTGGAGTCGATGTGTTCGGTGCATCAGTCTAAACCACATTACATCACATATTCAAGGATAGGCTATAAACTTATTAATACTATTATTAACTAACAATAGTTCCTGTACACACAACCAGGTGTGCCATTAATGCGATATTTATCGTTCCTGTACGATCATTTTTTTCATGTCCTGAAAACATTTTTTATTTAAAATACGATTACTGGCACATTACGTAAAATCCGTTTTCATTAACACGGAATGAATACAATGTTGGTTTATAAAATTGTGACTCTTAATAATTTCACGTAAAGAAGTGATTTCACAATTTTATTAAAACAAGTTTATCTGTCAGACGCTGCCGACATCTTCCAAAGAAATTAATATTACTATAGATTAGTTAATGCGATTCTTCATTTAAATCTTTAAACCATAATGTATATTAAAATATATATTTCACTTACAATAGCTAAATGTTTACGTGTGAAAATAGATTGTTTTATAAAACTTACTTGTGTGTGTTTTTAGTTAGGATAATATACAGGGTGAGTTGTTTTGATGTGTTAGCAACGATCTAGTAATGCTAAGGAAAATATGTCTCAGAATTACATTGTTGAATACTTAAAATCAATGATTCTTGACCGATCGATGCTGTAATAATTCTAATTTATCAACGTGAGTGACAGTGAGGATGACGCCCCTAGTAACACCAAAAAAAAAAAAATTAGGCTTTATGATGTACGTATACCAAACTGATAACTGTAACATATTTCGTTTGTATGGAAATATGCTTTTCAGTTGTATTATAATGCAAACAGTTATTAGAACTGGTAATATAACGCAGCTTTTTCAGACGATAATATGGATGAAAAAGCGGTAATTTAGTAAGTTTGTTTAGGCACAGGTACACATAAGTACAATTGTCATACATAGTGTAAATTACCTTGGATAACTCCCCAAAAAATCAGACAAAATCCTTGGTAGACATTGTGGTCCTTGTGAGCATTGTACGATAATTTTATTAAAAGAAAAAACTGAGACAGTAGTGGAGGTAACATGGCGACGGTCGTCCCGGTGTGGTTGTTCACTCGCATCTTCGCAAATTCACCCTATTCTAATTTTGTTACGCTTGTCCTTGTCAGCTCGATATATCATTTGGGATGTCGCACATCAGCTCCAATATTTTTCGAATTTTTGTATGGCTTTTGGGTAAAACTGGTTGACAGTGCAGGTGGGGTGAGGGGGTTTTCACAGGTCAGGTCAGTTATATTTTTTACTTTAAAAACTTAACTACTTTTTCCGCACATATATGATCAATATTTAATTGCTATCGGCAGGGAGGTAAATATTTATAACTTATGCTGTGTTGGTTCGAAACAACGAAACTTAATTAAGCTTAATGTTTAAATACAAGAATACCAGTAATAATTATTTACTACAAGTTATACAGCCCTAACTGACATTAATGACACTATAGAAAGCCGCTTGTTATGCAGATCATTTCGGGCAGATTAGGTAAGTATTTTTGTAAGTAATTTTGGGGGTCTGAAATGGACAAACCCCTCAAGGAAGGTTCCTTGATGCTGGTGAGGGGCTCTTGATCTAGGGAACTGGATCTGTGCTCCAGTTCCCTGAATTAACCCTGAATACCTTCCATCCCCTCCCACAGGCGCTTTATAGTCCTACGGGTTTAGCACTTCCCCTTGATTATAATAATAATAATGAAATGGACTAATCAAATTGACATTATTCCTTATAGAAACAAATTCATTCGGTATCGGCACTGGAACAGCCTTCTGGACCGAATTAAGTTCATAACTATAGCCCTTGTGGCTTAGCGCTTCTTTTTGATTATAATAATACTCGAGGTACCACTGTATTTATTATTACCTTTCTCACAGGTTTACCAGTGGAGTGCGTGTGATAGAGCCAATCTTTGTGTTCGTCATGTCTTATCTTGCATATCTCAATGCTGAAATCTTCCATCTGTCTGGTATATTATCGTAAGTTGAAACTTGAATTTTTCTCTCTCATTTTTATTTTGCATGTTAATACAAGCAATATTGAATACAATTTGTCATTACTCTTAAGTATCATGGAAGCAGCAGACTTAATAAAAAGAAATAGCCATATTTTACTGTAGTTCTGATACATAGGCAAAGAATATGAGTTTCATATGTGGAAAGAGGCAAGGGACAGTATAACAGAATTGCATATGAGTAAATCTGTGAGGTGTACAGTGTATGGTAAAACTTTAATAGTGATCAGAAGGTCAAGGTAGAATTATAAAACTTGATTTTGGAATGAAAGGAAATGTGTATAAAGTACAGGTTGACCGTCGCTAATCTGGCATCATCGGGACCTGAAAGGAGCCAGATTAGTGATTTTGCCGAGTTACAGAGTGGTTAGGTTAGGATACACTCAACCCAATTGCGATATTTATGTATCGGCAATCTCGCCCACTTTACGCCCTATTTTTGGCCCATTCCATTGTTCCAGTCTACCAAACTCATAGCTCTTTTGCTAGTATTCCTTCTATTGTCAATTAAGTACAAGAAACCGCCTATTTACCTATTTCAACTGCCTAATAAAGTGGTCAGAAATTGGTAATTTGGCCAATTTTACACAAATTTCAAGAGATGCTATTTTCAAACTAGGGTCCAGAAATAACATTGCAGACATTCCTGGCACTAAAATAACATTTTCTCTGTTCATTAGTCATATTTCCCATCCCCTTTTATATTACACTTGCTTTCAATTTTGAATTTTTCCCCCCCAAAAAATAGAAGATTTACTTTATTTTTAATTAGATTTTTTATTTTGACAAATTACATGGTTGTACAGAGGAATATAATAGTTGGGTGTACACTCCAAAAGCCCCTCTGTATGCTGAGCATTTCGGGCAAACTTAAAAATTTTATTTTTATTATTATTTTTATTAACACACTGGCCGATGCCCACCAAGGCAGGGTGGCCCGAAAAAGAAAAACTTTCACCATCATTCACTCCATCACTGTCTTGCCAGAAGGGTGCTTTACACTACAGTTTTTAAACTGCAACATTAACACCCCTCCTTCAGAGTGCAGGCACTGTACTTCCCATCTCCAGGACTCAAGTCCGGCTTGCCGGTTTCCCTGAATCCCTTCATGAATGTTACTTTGCTCACACTCCAACAGCACATCAAGTATTAAAAACCATTTGTCTCCATTCACTCCTGTCAAACATGCTCACACATGCTTGCTGGAAGAATATTAAGGCAATAATACATAGTTCATATGGTTATTAGATGAATTAGTGAGTACAGGGGAATTTAATATTATATCAGGTGATGCTATGTGATTTTGATAAGTCTAGTAGAGACTTTTTACACTATTGAATTAGTTAATAAAAATTACAGCATTACAATGTAACAATTTAAAACAATTTACAGTGTGATGTATTACAGTTTAGTACTGTTTAAAACAATAAAATTTGAAATTACAATGGAACAATTTACATTATGATGTACTGTATTACAATACTACTATTTAGAACAGTGAAAAGAACAGACATCCTAATTTCAAAGTAGTAAGTGGTTGAACATTCATCAGCACAATATGAGTAGCCTTTGAGAAACTGGTAGTGGTTAGGTATGGTTTGTCTGGATAATTTTGGGTGATGAGGTGATTTCTTATTTGGGCCTTAAACTGATTTGCAGACAGGGGTCCTTTAGCTTGTTCTGGCAATGAATTCCAGATCTTCGGGCCTTTTACATGCATAGCATTTTGGTACCGGGAGAGATGAACAAGAGGAATGTCGAAGAGTGATCTGTGTTATGCAGACTACTGCATTATTGTAATAATTGTATAAATAATGTCAACCCATTCATGACTGCATATTAAACAGGTCAATTGGACACATATTGGACGGTGTTTACTCTCAAATATCGGCAAAAATCAAACTTTTCCGCTACTGTGAGCTCAATTTTAAAGTACTTTTCGGCATGAAACCAATCAAAATTATCTGTTCTGTAATACAGCCTTTTCTCACATAGCAACAGAGTTCCATTCTAAGAGCACATCCTTAAACAAACTCATCGACTAATTGAGAAGCATACTATAATGGTAGTGAGTCTGTGTCAACCATCTTTGATATTGTTTTAATGTCACCTTTATATCATTTAAAACATTTCTGGTATGTTTTTAAATGTTTATACAGTAGTGTACTGTATATTGAAATAAGCAGAATAGAGGAAATCAGCTCTAATATACATTATTTAAGTATAAATACTGGTCAGAGAGCCCATCGTAAGTCTGAGGTGTCGGTAAACGAGTATATTGCTAAGTGAGGAGAAGCTGTATATTTTTCATTCCATCAAATGAGACAAAATAAAAAGGAGAATACAAACCATAGAAACCATACGAAAATACACAACAAAGTCGCTGTTTGACACCAAAGGCACGTTCACCATTTTTTCCTCATTATGCACTGCATACTGCAGGATTTTTTTATATAGTGCACACTTACCACACTGATCTATTCTCTCATATGTAGGCCCAAATTTATCTGAGTGAGCTGAGCTCATGGCAACTGACAGTTGCTTCAATGTTGAATGGTGTGATTTAGACAAGGATGAGAGACCACCATGGCTGCTTAATGTTTATACATGGTGACAGAAATGCTGGGACCAAGAGGCTAAAAATTCCTGTAGTAGTCTAATTACTAAAAAGAAAAGGAAAGCAATAATTTAGTTGGGTTGTTTGATTATGCATGGGTGTAGTACAAATAAGAATTAATTAATTGATTGATGTTTTGAATGAAAAGCTGATTGTCCTAGCACTGGGTGAAACTGAGCCAAAGGGGGTGAGAACATTTCAAAACAAAGGACGGAAGATGTTAGCTTGAGAGATGAGGTGCTGGGAAGATGGAGGAAATATTTTGAGGAACTTTTAAATTTTCATGAAGACTGGAAGGTAATTGTTTCAGGTGGTAATATAGTTTTAGTGGTTAATGTATATGTTCAGTATAGTGTATTCATGAAAAAAGGAGGTACCCTTAGATTGGCAGGGATCATGCATAATTCCTCTGTATAAGGGAAAAGGGGACAAAAGTGAAAGCTTTCTTTTCATTCTCTTCAACAGCATCACGTTCTGTGGTATTACTATGAAAAATTACGTGGAGCAGAACATATCAACAAAGTCTCATACAACTATAAAGTATGCCATGAAGATGTTGGCATCATCTTCAGAAACCATCATCTTCATGTTTTTGGGAGTGTCCACTGTGCAAAGCAGACATGAGTGGAATACTTGGTTCGTCATCTTAACCATAGTCTTCTGCTCTATATACAGAATTCTTGGTGAGTAGTTGTTAGTTTAATATCTTTATTATGCACTCCATACCCATCCTGTACGAGTAGTTAGGGATGTGAATTTTGAGTGATGAGGCTCTACACGCATTGCAAATATAGAAAAAATTTTAATACTAAGTTATAAATATAATTATAATTTTTATTTTTTAACAAGTTGGCCGTCTCCCACTGAGGCAGGGTGACCCAAAAAGAAAGAAAATCCCCAAAAAGAAAATACTTTCATCATCATTCAACACTTTCCCTCACTCACACATAATCACTGTTTTTGCAGAGGTGCTCAGAACACAACAGCTTAGAAGCATATACGTATAAAGATACACAACATATCCCTCCAAACTGCCAATATCCTGAACCCCTCCTTTAAAGTGCAGGCACTGTACTTCCCATTTCCAGGACTCGAGTCTGGCTATATAAAAATAACCGGTTTCCCTGAATTCCCTCACTAAATATTACCCTGCTCACACTACCTGGAGACCTGGAGTTTACCTGGAGAGAGTTCTGGGGGTCAACGCCCCCGCGGCCCGGTCTGTGACCAGGCCTCCTGGTGGATCAGAGCCTGATCAACCAGGCTGTTGCTGCTGGCTGCACGCAAACCAACGTACGAGCCACAGCCCGGCTGATCCGGAACTGACTTTAGGTGCTTGTCCAGTGCCAGCTTGAAGACTGCCAGGGGTCTGTTGGTAATCCCCCTTATGTGTGCTGGGAGGCAGTTGAACAGTCTCGGGCTCCTGACACTTATTGTATGGTCTCTTAACGTGCTAGTGACACCCAGAACGTCAGGTCCCAAATACCATTCGTCTCCATTCACTCCTATCGAACACGCTCACGCACGCCTGCTGGAAGTCCAAGCCCCTCGCCCACAAAACCTCCCTTACCCCTTCCTTCCAACCTTTTTGAGGACGACGTCTACCCCGCCTTCCTTCCCCTACAGATTTAAATGCTCTCCATGTTATTCTACTTTGATCCATTCTCTTTAAATGACCAAACCACCTTAACAACCCCTCTTCAGCCCTCTGACTAATACTTTAACTCCACACCTTCTCCTAATTTCCACACAACGAATTTTCTGCATAATATTTACACCACACATTGCCCTTAGACAGGACATCTCCACTGCCTTCAACCTCCTCCTCGCTTCTGCATTCACAACCCAAGCTTCACACCCATATAAGAGTGTTGGTACTACTATACTTTCATACATTCCCTTCTTTGCCTCTGTAGATAATGTTTTTTTGTCTCCACATATACCTCAATGCACCACTCGCCTCTTTTCCTTCATCAATTCTATGATTAACCTCATCCTTCATAAATCCAACCACCGACACATCAACTCCCAAGTATCTGAAAACATTCACTTCTTCCATACTCCTCCTCTGCAATTTGATATCCAATTTTTCTTTATCTAAATCATTTGATACCCTCATCACCTTACTCTTTTCTATGTTCACTTTCAACTTTCTACCGTTACACACACTCCCAAATACGTCCACTAAGCTTTGCAATTTTTCTTTAGAATCTCCCATAAGCACAGTATCATCAGCAAAAAGCATCTGTGTCAATTCCCATTTTGTATTTGATTCCCCATAATTTAATCCCACCCCTCTCCCGAACACCCTAGCATTTACTTCTTTTACAACCCCAGCTATAAATATATTAAACAACCATGGTGACATTATACATCCCTGTCCAAGATCTACTTTATTTATTTATTTTATTTATTTATTAATTTGATCATGATGCAGAGAAGTACAAAGGAATACAGTTATTAAAGTGCAACATGCCAAAGCCCCTTGTATGCAGAGCATTATGGGCAGGCTTAAAATTAACTTAAGATTAACTAAGCAATGATATATTAAGTGGTAAAAACGTTATTGTAAACAGATAACAATTTAGCACAAATGAGTATTACAAAGACAGGTCATATGGTCATTTACTGTGTTGCTGTGCATTCAGTAGAATGGAGTATTCTGTTGGGTAATGTAATTAAAAAACAACAGTTTGACTGGGTCACAGGTTAAACATTTATGAGATATAGTAATGAGAAACAATTATGAGATACAATTTATGAGATACAATTTATGACATACAATTATTCAGTTTTTATTTAGTTGTGGGTAAGTGATTTTTGAGAAGATACTTGAATTTATAAACAGACAGTGTTTCTTTTATATTCACAGGTAATGAATTCCAGATTTTAGGGCCTTTCATGTGCATGAGTTTTTGCATAGCGTGAGATGGACTCGAGGAACATCAAAGAGTGATCTGTGCCTTGTGTTATGGTCATGTGTTCTGTTGAGGTTGGTAAGGAGACATTTGAGGGGAGGGTTTATATCAGAGTTAAGTGTTCTATGTATGTAGTAGGTGCAGTAATAAGTACGGATGTTTTGTATGGTGAGTAGGTTTAGAATTTTGAATATTGGTGGAGTGTGCTGCCTGTAGTGGGAATTTATCATTCTGACCAGCCTTTTGTTGGGTAATTAGTGGTCTGAGAGGGTTTATTGTTGTTTAGCCCCATGCACAAATTCCATAGGTGAGATAGAGGTAAATAAGTGAGTGATATAGGGCCAGGAGGGCTGACTGTGGAACATAGTACCGTATCTTCGATAGTATGCCTACGGTCTTGGAATTTTTTTTGGAAATTTGTTGTATGTGTTTGAAATTTGAGTCTATTATCAAGGTGGATTCCTAAGAATTTTCCCTCTGAGTTTTGTGATAGGTGATCATTTTATCATTATGTTAAGAGGGACATCTGTAGCTTTGTTACCAAACTGAATGAAGTAGGTTTTGTCAGTTTAGAGTGAGTTTGTTAGTCGTCATCCAGGTAGATATTTTCTGTAATTCGGTATTTACAGTATTGGCTAGCGTGACTGGACTCGGGTGAGAGAAGACATATGTAGTGTCATCTGCAAATAGTGTGGGTTTGAGTAGTTGCGATGCATTTGGTAGGTCATTTATGTATATGAGAAAGAGAAGAGGGCCAAGGACGCTTCCCTGTGGGACACCAACTGTAATTGACTGTGCAGAAGAGTTTGCCCCATTTGTGTACACATATTGCTTCTGTTGCTGAGGTATGACTTTAGGTAGTTGAGGGAGTGTCCTCTTATACCATAGTGTGACAATTTTATGTGGAGCAAGTCATGGTCAACTGTATCAAAAGCTTTACAGAAGTCAATGAAGATCCCCAGTGGGACTTCTTTTTTCTCTATTGCAGTGTACAGTGGAACCTCAAAAATCGAACTTAATCCGTTCCAGGAACTAGTTCTAAATTCGAAAAGTCTGAAATTCGAAGCAATATTTCCCATAAGAAATAATGGAAATAAATTAATCCGTTCCAGAAACCCAAAAATATTCACACAAAAAATACATTTTATAGAGATTAATTACAGTTTTACATTCAACAAATACTATAGTTTTTAATTATGTATAGTAATACATATAAAATAACATTTTTACTTACCTTTATTGAAGATTGGTGATGGCATCTGGAAGATAGGGAGGAGGAGAGAGGGAGTTGGGGTTAGTGTTTGGAAGGAGAATCCCCCTCCATGAGGACTTCAGGTAAAACCCTCTCTGGGGTTACTTCCCTTCTGTCTTTTAATGCCACTAGGACCAGCTTGAGTCACTGGACCCCTGTCTCACAAAATAATTGTCCACAGTCCTCTGTTTCTGGTGCCTCTTTAACATTTCCCTAAAATGGGACATGGTTCTGTCACTGAACTTGTTGCAAAGATGGCTTGTTTCAGCTTGATCAGGGTGGTACTTCTGCACAAACATTTGGACATCATTCCACTTGGCACAAATCTCCTTAATCTTTGAAGAAGGCACCTCATCCACTCCCAATATTAACACCTTTCGCAACATCAGCTTCCTTGATTTGTTCTTTCTTTGACAGGATAGAACCAATGGTCGACTTGTTTTTCCCATACATCCTGGCAAGCTCAACAAGTCTCACACCACTCTCATACTTCTGTATTATTTCCTTCTTCACATCTATAGTGTTTCTCACTTTATTTACCACAGGGGTACCACTAGCAAGTTTCTTTGGGCCCATGGCAGCTTATTTCACAGTCCCACAAGCACTAAACACAACGAAATAATTGTAAAATGCGTGAATGAGAGCGCAGGTTAGTGTTCACTCAAGCATAAACAAAGCCAGACTGCTCATGGCGCCTGCGCAGGGACGCGGACAGAGCGGGCGGCAGACAGGTCCCGTACCCGGCGGTCCGAAAATAGGGGCGCATTCGATAATAGGGACACAGTTTGTCCGAAAAAATGGTCCTATTTTCGAAACGTTCGATATGTGATACGTTCGATTTTTGAGGTTCCACTGTATATATGTTCTAGCATGTGTATAATAGCATCATTAGTATTTTTATTAGGCCTGAACCCAAATTGACAGGGGTTGAGTATGTTGTGGGAGATGAGGTAGGAATAGATTTGCTTATGAATTAATTTTTCGAAGATTTTAGAGAGAGGGTGTAAGTTGGATATTGGCCTATAGTTATTCAAGTCTGTTTGGTCTCCTCCTTTATGGATCGGGGTGACCCTTGCGATTTTGAGAACTGTAGGAAAGGTAGAGAATTCAATGGATTTGTTAAAGAGTGTTGCAATGATTGGTGATAGCACTTGTGATGCTTTTTTGTATATAAAGGGTGGTAAGGTATTTAAATCTCCTGTCTTGTTTTTTAGTGTTTTTTACCGGGAAGTAGTCTCCCTCTCTTCTACACACCCTAACCCGAGCCTCACTGTCCTCATAAAAACTCTTTACAGCATTTAGTAACTTACCACCTATTCCATAATACGTTGTCTTAAATGCTATTCATTCATTTTGGTTAATGTTGAATGGAGGCATTTATTTTCATTGGAATTCAGTGTTGAGCAATAAAAACTTGGAAAGTTCATGATAATGATTTGAATGTAGCAGTTATTTTTTGTGCCTTGTTTAAGTACCAGTGAAAGTTTTTTTTTAAAGTTCTGTGTTAGAAAACTTTCTTACATTCACATATTTTTATTTTATGCTATGAGCTATTTTTATTATTATTATTATTGTAATAAAATTTAAGGATGTTGTTAGTGTAGTGTGATTAATATCCTGATTCCCAGTCTCTTCAGCCCATCTTCAAATGGGTAAGAAATGTGCTGATTTTATTGATCTCGTCATTTCAAAGTGCCACTTTACTGCTAGCAGTTTCTGGACCTTTTTTTTTTTTTTAATTTGCTTAATTAAATAACTAAAATGAAATTTTGGGAATTTAGATCCTTCATAAATTAGCATGAGGTAATATCTAAGCAAATGGCTGAATTTGCAGATTGGTTGGTTGCTGTCTGATGCACAGAAGCAAACTGAGCATCGGGAATTTATCTAAAAGACTTCATCCCACTCTTAATTGCACTTACCTAAGTATATTTTTACTCTTTCATCTAGGTGTCTGGATCTTCAGTGCGATGTGCAATCGGTTCCGTGTCAAGAAGATCACCTTCGTGGACAAGTTTATCATGTCATATGGTGGGTTAAGAGGAGCAGTGGCCTTTGCCCTGGTGCTGACCATCAATGTGGAACATATTCCAAGTCAACCTATATTCCTTACTGCCACTATGGCTATGGTCTACTTTACTGTCTTCTTACAAGTAAGTTCTTGGAGATGTTAACAAAATGATTCAACTCTTCCATAAACACACAGCATTTTGAGTATTTCTTAGACTAAAATATAATGTAAAGTTATTTTTTTTTTTTTAACAAGTCAGCCGTCTCCCACCGAGGCAGGGTGACCCAAAAAGAAAGAAAATCCCCAAAAAGAAAATACTTTCATCATCATTCAACACTTTCACCTCACGCAAACATAATCACTGTTTTTGCAGAGGTGCTCAGAATACAAAAGTTTAGAAGTATATACATATAAAGATACATAACATATCCCTCCAAACTACCAATATCCTAAAACGTCTCCTTTAAAGTGCAGGCATTGTACTTCGCATTTCCAGGACTCTAGTCCGGCTATATAAAATAACCAGTTTCCCTGATTCCCTTCACTAAATATTAACCTGCTCACACTCCAACAGCTCGTCAGGTCCCAAATACCATTCGTCTCATTCGTCTCCATTCACTCCTATCTAACACGCTCATGCACGCCTGCTGGAAGTCCAAGCCCCTCGCCCACAAAACCTCCCTTACCCCTTCCTTCCAACCTTTTCGAGGACCACCCCTACCCCGCCTTCCTTCCCCTACAGATTTATATGCTCTCCATGTCATTCTACTTTGATCCATTCTCTCTAAATGACCAAACCACCACAACAACCCCTCTTCAGCCCTCTGACTAATACTTTTATTAACTCCACACCTTCTCCTAATTTCCACACTCGAATTTTCTGCATAATATTTACACCACACATTGCCCTTAGACAGGACATCACTGCCTCCAACCGCCTCCTCGCTGCTGCATTTACAACCCAAGCTTCACACCCATATAAGAGTGTTGGTACTACTATACTTTCATACATTCCCTTCTTTGCCTCCATAGATAATGTTTTTTGTCTCCACATATACCTCAATGCACCACTTACCTTTTTTCCCTCATCAATTCTATGGTTAACCTCATCCTTCATATATCCATCCGCCGACACGTCAACTCCCAAGTACAGTGGACCCCCGCATACCGTCGCCATCACATAACGTACAATCCGCATACCGCTCGCTTTTATCGCAAAAATTTTGCCTCGCATACCGCTCAAAAACCCGCTCACCGCTCTTCGTCCGAGACGCGTCCAATGTGCGCCCTTAGCCAGCCTCACATGTGCCGCCGGTGGCATTGTTTACCAGCCAGCCTCCGCGGTAACATCCAAGCATACAATCGGAACATTTCGTATTATTACAGTGTTTTTGGTGATTTTATCTGCCAAATAAGTGACCATGGGCCCCAAGAAAGCTTCTAGTGCCAACCCTACAGCAATAAGGGTGATAATTACTATAGAGATGAAGAAAGAGATCATTGATAAGTATGAAAGTGGAGTGCGTGTCGCCAACCTGGCCAGGTTGTACAAGAAACCCAAATCAACCATCGCTACTATTGTGGGCAACAGAAAGGCAATCAAGGAAGCTGTTCTTGCCAAAGGTTTAACTGTGTTTTCGAAACAGAGATCGCAAGTGATGGAAGATGTTGAAGACTCTTATTGGTGTGGATAAATGAAAAACAGCTAGCAGGAGATAGCGTCTCTCAAGCGATCATAAGCGAAAAAGGCTAGGAAGTTGCATGAGGATTTAATTAAAAAAATGCCTGCAACTAGTGATGATGTGAGTGAATTTAAGGCCAGCGAAGGTTGGTTTGAGAGATTTAAGAAGCGTAGTGGCATACATAGTGTGATAAGGCATGGTGAGGCTGCCAGTTCGGACCACAAAGCAGCTGAAAAATATGTGCAGGAATTCAAGGAGTACATAGACAGTGAAGGACTGAAACCTGAACAAGTGTTTAATTGTGATGAAACAGGCCTGTTTGGAAGAAATGCCAAGCAGGACCTACATTACTCAGGAGGAAAAGGCACTCCCAGGACATAAGCCTATGAAAGACAGGCTTACTTTGTTGATGTGTTCCAATGCTACTGGTGATTGCAAAGTGAAGCCTTTATTAGTGTATCACTCTGAAACTCCCAGACCGTTCAGGCAAAAGAATGTCCTCAAGGAGAATTTGTGTGTGCTGTGGAGGGCAAACAGTAATTCATGGGTCACTAGGGACTTTTTCTATGACTGGTTACACCATGCATTTGCCCCCAATGTGAAAGATTACCTAACTGAAAAGAAATTAGAACTTAAGTGCCTCCTGGTGTTAGACAATGCCCCTGGTCATCCTACAGACGTGGCAGAGCGACTTTATGGGGACATGAAATTCATTAAGGTGAAGTTTTGCCTCCTAATACCACTCCTCTCTTGCAGCCATGGACCAGCAGGTTATTGCAAACTTCAAAAACTGTACACAAAAGCTCTGTTTGAAAGGTGCTTTGTAGTGACCTCAGAAACTCAACTGACTCTAAGAGAGTTTTGGAGAGAGCACTTTAATATCCTCAATTGTGTAAACCTTATAGATAAGGCTTGGGAGGGAGTGACTAAGAGACCTTGAACTCTGCTTGAAGAAACTGTGGCCAGAATGTGTAGACAAAAGGGATTTTGAAGGGTTTGAGGCTAACCCTGAGAGGATTATGCCAGTTGAGGAATCCATTGTGGCATTGGGAAAGTCCTTGGGGTTGGAGGTTAGTGGGGATGATGTGGAAGAGTTGGTGGAGGAGGACAATGAAGAACTAACTACTGATGAGCTGATAGATCAACTTCAACAGCAAGAGGCCAGACCTGAGGAAACTGGTTCAGAGGAGGGGAGAGAGAAATTGAAGAAGTTGCCTACTACAAAGATTAAGGAAATCTGTGCAAAGTGGCTTGAAGTGCAAACCTTCATGGATGAAAATCACCCTCACACAGCTATTGCAAGCCATGTTGGCAACCTGTACACTGACAATGTTGTGAAACACTTTAGGGAAGTCATAAAGGAACGAGAGGTACAGGCCACTATGGACAGATATGTTGTGCGAAAGAAGTCCAGTGACTCTGAAGCTGGTCCTAGTGGCATTAAAAGAAGAAGGGAAGTAACCCAGAAAAGGACTCGACACCTCAAGTCTTAATGGAAGGGGATTCCCTTCTAAACACTAACACTCTCTCTCCCCTCCTCCCATCCCATCAATCATCACCAGATCTTCAATAAAAGTAAGTGTCATGTAATTGTGCATGCCTTTTTCAGTTTGTGTGTATTAAAATTAACATTTCATGTGGTAAAATTTTTTTTTTTCATACTTTTGGGTGTCTTCCACGGATTAATTTGATTTCCATTATTTCTTATGGGGAAAATTCATTCGCATACCGATCATTTCGCATAACAATGAGCCCTCTTGCACGGATTAAAGTCGCTATGCGGGGGTCCACTGTATCTGAAAACATTCACTTCTTCCATACTCCTCTTGCCCAATTTGATATCCAATTTTTCTTTATCTAAATCATTTGATACCCTCATCACCTTACTCTTTTCTATGTTCACTTTCAACTTTCTACCTTTACACACACTCCCAAACTCATCCACTAACCTTTGCAATTTTTCTTTAGAATCTCCCATAAGCACAGTATCATCAGCAAAAAGCAACTGTGTCAATTCCCATTTTGTGTTTGATTACCCATAATTTAATCCCACCCCTCTCCTGAACACCCTAGCATTTACTTCTTTTACAACCCCATCTATAAATATATTAAACAACCATGGTGACATTACACATCCCTGTCTAAGAGCTACTTTTACTGGGAAGTAGTCTCCCTCTCTTCTACATACCCTAACCTGAGCCTCACTATCCTCATAAAAACTCTTTACAGCATTTAGTAACTTACCACCTACTCCATATACTTGCAACATCTGCCACATTGCTCCCCTATCCACTCTATCATTTGCCTTTTCTAAATCCATAAATGCAATAAAAACTTCCCTGCCTTTATCTAAATACTGTTCACACATATGCTTCAATGTAAACACTTGATCTACACACCCCCTACCCATGCTGAAACCTCTTGCTCATCCACACTCCTACATTCTGTCACCTTTAATTCTTTCAATTATAACCCTACCGTACACTTTTCCTGGTATACTCAGTAAACTTATTTCTCTATAATTTTTACAATCTCTTTTGTCCCCCTTCACTTTATATAAAGGGACTATACATGCTCTCTGCCAATCCCTAGGTACCTTCCCCTCTTTCATACATTTATTAAACAAAAATACCAACCACTCCAACACTATATCCCTCCCTTCTTCTAACATTCCTGTCATGATCCCGTTAGTTCCAGCTGCTTTACCCCCTTTCATTCTACGTAATGCCTCGCGCACCTCCCCCACACTCACATCCTGTTCTTCACTCCTAAAAGATGGTATACCTTCCTGGCCAGTGCATGAAATTACCGCCTCCCTTTCTTCGTTGACATTTAAAAGTTCCTCAAAATATTCTTGCCATCTATCCAAAAACCTCCATCTCCCCATCTACTAACTCCCCTACTCTGTTTTTAACTGACGGATCCATTTGTTCTCTAGGTTTTCTTAACTTGTTTATTAACTCACTCCAAAATTTTTTCTTATTTTCATTAAAATTTCTTGACAGTGCCTCTCCCACTCTATCATCTGCTCCACTTTTGCACTCTCTCACCACTCTTCACCTTTCTTTTACTCTCCATATACTCTACTCTTCTTATAATACTTCTGCTTTGTAAAAACCTCTCATAAGCTAACTTTTTCTCTTTTATCACACCCTTTACTTCATTCCATCAATCACTCCTCTTTCCTCCTGCACCCACCCTCTCTATAACCACAAACTTCTGCCCCACATTCTAATACTGCATTTTTAAAACTATTCCACCCCTCTTCAACCCCCCCATTCCCCGCACCCATCCCACCATCTCATTTTGCACCAGCCACTTTACTGACTAATGTTGCTATATCTCTCAAATCACCTCCTTGTTTATACACTTTCACTCCCTCATGATTGTTGTTGCCATTTCCTCTTTCCATTACTCTCTTAACTGTAGCTGCAACTATAAGATCCAATATATCAGTTGC